AGCCACTAGGAAGAGTATCTTGAAATGCAGGAATATTTTGCAATTAGGCCTGCGATGGAGAGTTGGTGATGGACAACGAATTAAGTTTTGGCAGGACATTTGGTTAAGTGACAAGCCTTTATATGAAGTTGCTCTTTCCCTAGTGTTACCTGCTCTTATGGATACCCCAGTTTCACACGCCATTAACTCAACTCGAGATTGGGATGCGGATTGGCTTAGAAATCTCCTCCCTAACAATGTAGTTGCTCAGATCTTGGCAACTCCAATTCCAGCATTTCAACAACAAGAGGATACAGTGTTTTGGAACGACTCACCAGATGGTACTTTCTCTGCTAAGTCGGCTTTCGAGCTGTTACAACAGCAGCATGTTGTTTTAACTTAGCAAGGGGAGAGTTGGAGGTGGATATGGAAATTACAATGCATAGAGAAAATTAAATTATTTGTTTGGCTGCTTTGCAAAAACAGAGTGCTCACAAACAATGTCAGATTTGCGAGACACTTTGCTGCAACTCTAATTTGCCCGAGATGCGAGCAGAGCCCAGAAACCCCACTTCACCTATTGCGTGATTGCTATCACTCACGTTTGTTCTGGGAAGCTACTTCTGTGTTACCTCCTGACTTTTTCATGCTGGGCTTTAACGAATGGTTGCGGAAGAATGCACAAACTTCATCGACTAGTGATGCTTCACGTCATAACTGGTCTACACTTTTCTTCTCTGCCATTTGGGTGATCTGGAAGAATAGAAACGCTCTTATTTTTGACAATCAAAGAACTCCTCCCCATATCCTATTTCAACATGCTTCCTCCTTAGCTAGAGACACAAGCTTGGGGCTGGCCACAAACATTCTTGCTCACCCTCGCCTACCTAGGTGGGTAAGATGGCTTCCTCCTAATTTCCCTTTCCTCAAATTGAATACAGATGGGGCGATGAGTCAAGCATCGGGAAATGCTAGTGCAGGAGGTCTCATTCGAGATCATGGAGGGCAGTGGCTACATGGCTTTGCGATTAATATTGGGCCACAAACTAGCTATATGGCAGAGCTTTGGGGTTGTCGCGCTGGCCTTCGGTTAGCTCTCGAGATGGGTCTCACCCACCTGGTCCTTGAAATGGATTCCTTGTTGGCGGTGCAGGCGATACTGGCAAGGAAAACCGGGGATGGCCCAGCTTCAATACTTCTGTTGGACATCTTCCACCTTGTAAATTCCTTTGAGGTTTGCACGGTGCAACACACTTTGAGGGAAGGAAACGCAGCAGCTGATTACATGGCCTCTATTGGACAAACTCTCACCCAGGGCACTGGTTTTTTTCAATCTCCACCTCCGGGTATCAGGAGCATCCTCCATGAAGACTGCATAGACACTTTGTTCCTCAGGACTTAGCGTTGTCTAGCTTCTTCTGTACCAAAAAAAAAAAATAAAGAAAGATATGGAGCATTCTGAGCGTTCTCACAAAAGCAATATTTTTGGATCTATATTGTATTTCACCCAAATTTTAGGACCTCTTCATAATTTTGTATTTTTTGTGAATAAAAAATGTCTCTTTTTTATTTTTCTCTATTCCAGACTGCATGAATTGATTTTATTTTATTTCCATGATGATTTCAATTTAATAATTAATCAAATTAAAATGAATTTTTTTCTACATAAATTAATACTAAAAGATGTTTATCACTCTTAATCTATGCCTAAAGTACATATTAAAAAAATTATTTAATTATTTCACTCTGTATTTACACAATCATAGAAAAATCTCATTTAATATTAAAAAACAATTTTTAGTGCTTGAATTTCATAAATTCTCAATAAAAGCAGACCTTTTTTATAGTGCGTTTGAAATTTTTTTATACAACTCTTTTTTCTTACCTTGGATATGGACTGTTCAGCACCGTCTTCGTTCCATATTTCCTCCACTCGTACCCATCCTCCAGTATGTCACAATCTGACCATGTTCTAAATGCAATTCTTTCTTTTACTTCCTTCTCCATCCTTCCACCTTTACTTTCTCCTGCATGGAAAAACCAGAGGAAGATGATTATTTATCTGTATGTATAGAGTATGGAAAAACTTAATTAAGAACCCAACTAATGAGATTTCTTACTGTTATTTGGTCCTTCACGGAAGCTGCTAATCCCACCAGTCTCATTAAATGTATTTACTTGATTAACAGGATTCCCGGAGAACCCGGAATCAATAGCAGCTGGCTGATAATCCTCCCGCCGGCCATCAAACATCAAGCACCCCTCTGGGGGCTCGGAATTTGGAGTCATCTCCATGCTCAGTTTCCGGTGAGTCCAATGGCCTAGAATTGCTATTAGACAAATGGATATCAAACATAGGCTATAACTCAGTCCTCCATAACTTTGCAGCTGTTTTATATTTGTTTGGCCTCGGTCACTTGGGCAGTAAGGGTAGTTTCTCCATGAGCTTCCTCTGATATTACGTACGGGAAGCTTCAACGTTAATGCCAAGAGCGTAAAATACCAATCAAGAAAGTGGGGCATGCCAGGGATGACTTAAAAGAGTAGACTTCTATAAAAATACGTTTGTTTTTGTGTTTTTTTTTTTTTTTTTGTGTGCCTGTCAGTGAATTTAGCTTGGCTCGGAGTGGGACCAACCGTTAACGGACAGTCAGTGAAGAGAGCTCCAGTCCAAGATGACCAATTGAAAAAGACGAGGGATCTTGTTCACCGAAAAAGAAAGCATCATTTTGTTCACTGAACAGCACATCATTTTTATGCATTGGAAATGAAGGGAAGATCAAAGAAAACTAGTCGATAGAAACTATTTACGAAAAAAAAAAAGAGAATTATTCTTTCATATTCAATTCATCAATTGTGCTTTTTTGAATTTTTTTTCAAATTAAAAATTTAGAGATAATTAATGATTTTATCCATAACTAGGTGCGCAATTTGTTTATGGTAATTATTAATTATAGTAACATTAATTTTAAATAATTATTCTTAATTAATATTATAAACCTTATAAATACTTAATAAAATAAAGAAGTATATACATTGTGGAAAATCTGTATTTTGTTCATTAATACAATGATCCTGATTTTTATTAATTTTTGTATAATTAGAAGATTAACTTCTAATTAATTTATTGCTTACTAGTATATAGTACAACTAATGTTTGATTGTATGCCATTATGTAGGACATGCATTAAAATGCAAATAAATCCTATAACCATATTATTAATCTCTCTCCCCTTATTTTTCCATTGATGTTATTTTATTTTAGTTAATTCTTGTACATATAGCTATAGGGTTTTTCTAAGGACACAGGTGAAGAGTATTCAAAAAAATAAAAAGTAACATTAATATATTAATTGTCTAATTAAATTTATTCACTTGACATAAACACTAAAATTAATATTTACTTTTACATTTTTTTATACAAATTTATTACAAATTCTTCCATAACTATATATTATTATGTTTTTTTACCTCAGTTTTTCTCTATTTAGTTGTCTATATTTACAAATGTCT